AGTAAAAACTAAATGTCGATTCTAGAACTTTATATTCAATTGGAGGGACCCAAGAAATATATTTTCTTGATAATTCACTTCAACAGAACACTCGAATAACTTGTCTGGAATCCTCGCTGGAATCAAAAGACTTTGAAAAGGGATCGCTGATTTTCATTTCGAATCGTACTATTTTCTACTGATAATATAAACAACTTCTGAGTAAGAATAGCTTGTTCCAAGGGTTCTATTTTACTTGAAAGATTTCAATTCTTTCCTAACAAGAAATGCCATTTGGGCGTTGAAACAAAACCGCCTGCTAATCTAGATCAATGTCAATTCACTAGCGGGGCGCAAGTAAGAGTTTCAAATGGAAATTCAATCTTTGAATCTTCATGTGAATATAATTTTTTTTAAGAAAAATGGAACAAAAGAGACGAGAAATTAAATAGTATATTGTAGTTTTGTTACTATTTATGGATTATGGCCATCATCCGAAACAGCTGGATAGTAAAACGTCAGATGAATTATTATCTCCTCAATTGACTACAAGCAAAGTTTCCATTTGATTGCGATCATTCTTACAACAATCCTGAAATTAGGGGGAGCTCATAATAATCGAATTGTTCTCGAACATGCCATAAAAGGAGATAATTTATTTGACGGAGCCAGTCAAATTCCATTTGGGCGTTGAAACAAAACCGCCTGCTAACCCTCTAGATCAATGTCAATTCATTAGCGAGGCGCAAGTATAAGATTGCTCGAGCCCGTCTAATTCTACATAATTATTTCACTTAGTCCGCTCCCCTTGCCACAACTACCGAATTACGGCTGCGAATTTTCCAAGTTTGGTTTACAATAAGCAACAGCTAATTTTATCACTCTCAGTCTGGGACAGACCGAATTGGATTTGGCAATTCAGCGGCGAGGGGCCGTGATTAGATTTACATGAGTTAGGGGCCGTTCGGTTCGCTCTGCTCGAACACAAGCGGCAGCCAGTTAGCTGATGACACACTTTCAATCAACATGCATGTCATATTGTCGCGGCATGTCCTGTCCTGTCGCCCCTGCCGAAAGGGGAGGTTTACGGATGTGCCGCCCTCTGACGAATCCTGTTTACCGCCCACGTCCTGCAAGTACATTCGATCGAAACCAGTGGCGTATCTGACTACTACGAATTTTGCTTGGTCTCAAAACGAATAAGGCTAACGGTCCTGATGGAATTCCACCCATTATACTCAAAAAATGTGCACCAGAATTAACACCGATTCTCTGCAAGTTGTTAACCATCTCGTACAGGTCGGGTATTTTTCCATCATGCTGGAAGACAGCTAGAGTCCAACCAATCCCCAAAAAAGGGAACAAGAACCTGCCCAACAACTACAGGCCCATTACCCTGGTCAGTAATCTCCAAAGTGATGGAGAACGCTATCAATATTGAGCTTATCAAATATCTGGAGAGCTCAGGAATCATCAATGGTAGACAATACGGCTTTCGTCACCGAAGATCTACTGGAGATCTACTTGCCTACGTCACCCATTTATGGCAATCTTCAATAGAAAAACACGGGGAATCTCTAGCTGTCGCGTTGGACATATCGAAAGCATTCGACCGTGTTTGGCACGAAGGACTCCTCCACAAACTACCATCATACGGCTTACCACCTCAGCTATGCCATCTCTTATCGAGTTTTCTTTCAGGCAGATCGCTTCACGTGGTGGTGGACGGTGTATCGTCTGATGTCGTTGGCATCAATTCCGGAGTTCCGCAAGGATCAATTTTGGCACCAACATTATTCCTTCTCCATATCAATGATCTGTTGGGAGTAACAACTTGCCTATCAACAGCTTTGCAGATGATAGTACCCTCCATACTGCGTTCTCTTCCAGAATTCCCATTTTTTCCCAGGAAACTAAGATTTCACGGCGCAGGCAGGTCATTGCTGTCAATGAAGATCTTGCTGAAATCACAACCTTGGGAACCAACAACCTAGTTGAATTCAACGCCACCAAAACCCAAGCCTGTATTTTCTCTAGAAAGGCGGAACTCAGTATGCCCGACATTGTAATGTCTGGCTCCACCATCCGCACCAAGCCCACCATATCTATGCTTGGTATTTCCATCAGCAACACTCTTTCATGGGAAAATCATGTCAGATCCATCGCAAAAGCTGCTTCACAAAAACTCGGATTCTTGTTCCGTTCCAAAAGCTACTTTACACCTCAACAGCTTCTCATGATCTACAAAGCGCAGATACGGCCTGTTCTAGAATACTGTTCCCACATATGGGGTTCAGCACCAAAACATACGCTCATGCTCTCAGATTCCATCCAGAGAAGAGCCATTCGCCTGGTGGGTGACGCCTCACTCTTTGACATCATTGGAACACCGTAGAAAGGTCGGCGACCTTTCACTTTTCTATCGATACTTCCACGGGAAATGTTCTTCGGAAATCTCTGCTATCATCCCTTCACTAGCAATACCAATCAGACGAACTAGACAAGCCCAGTCAGCACATCCTTTCGTTGTCAACCTCGAAAGATGTCGAACAGCACTTTATCAGGACTCCTTCATCCATAGAACGGCTAGGCTCTGGAATTCATTGCCTGTGGAAGTATTCCCAACAACATATAATCTTCAGAAGTTCAAAAAAAATTCCAATACCTACCTCCTGTCCCTATCCTCCCTAGGAACGCACGATGTTCTTTGAACATTATAGGGATTCCCTTTCGTGCGCTCCAAGCGATATAAAAAAAAAAAACTTACTCTAGGGAGGGGGGTAATCCAGGTCAGGAAAAGGTTGCTAGGTAGTTACGACAACAAAAAGAGAACACAATAAAAAAGGAACAATACTCGGAACAAAATGAAAATAATGACTAGGTATTCAGTATTCACATACCTAAACCTGATAATGAATATTATTAAAACCAAGAATAAACAAAACAACCTGTGAATATGGGAACAAAAATAGTGCTGGTGCCGGTACACACAATCTTATATCATAAGGTTATCTTATTACATGTTTAATCAATCAGAACATTGAAACTGAAAGAACAAAAAAAGAAAAATCATAAATTAGGCCGTCATCAAAGAACGGATCGACGGCTACTGCCGGGGTCAGTGTTGCCAGCTGCTGAAAAAAAACGCTAGAAGTCGCTATATCGAGCGAAGCGAGCTGAAAGCCCGCCGCACAGTTTCAAAATAGCAGTTATTATGTAGATATCACTCAAAGTTTTTTGAATGAATGACCCTGTATATTTCTTCATATTTGGAACACTGATGCCTTGTTGCGCTTTCAAAAAATATATAAACGATATTTTGAGTATCAGCCTTGAATTTAGATAATTTACAATTTTTCAGTATATTTCCTATTGTTCCGTCTTGTAAAAGTATGACAATATTCTTGATATTCCAATATCATGAATTTTCATATCGATCCTGTTGCTGACTAATTTTACCAACACTCATCATTCATCATTCAGCATTATTTTTTTTATTATGTTCTGGTTCCCACGAAAAGGGATATCCTGTAATATTCAGAGAACATCGTGAGAACCAAGGGAAATAAGGTAGGAATTGGTGTTCTTCTTGAATTTCTGGAGGTTATATGCCTTGGGGAACACCCCCCTTGGCAATGTGTTCCAGAGCCTCGCTGTTCGTTGGATGAACGAGTCTTTGGAAAGAGATGTTCTGCAGGTCTCCAAAGTGACCACGAAGGGGTGCGAAGCCTTAACTCGACTGCCAAGGAAGGTACAATTGTTGATATTTCAGAAGAGCATCCTCCATGAAAATATCTATAAAATAGAGCCAGATCGCCAACTTTTCTACGGTGTTCCAGAGAAGTGAGTGAGCGAGACATCACCCACGAGACGAATTGCCCTTTTTTGGACAGAATTCAACAAGTTTCAGGGTATGTTTGGGCGCTGCACTCCAAATATGGGAACAGTATTCCAGGACAGGTCGGATCTGTGCCTTATAGATCATAAGCAGCTGACTGGAAGTGAAATAGCTCCTGGTCCGAAACAGAAAACCAAGTTTTTGGGATGCAGTTTTAGCAATTGATCTCACGTGATTTTTTCAAGAAAGGTTATTGCTGATAGTAATACCAAGCATCGAAATGGATGTCTTCAAAGATATGGTTACTCCTGACATACTTATGTTTGGCACAGTGAGATCGGCTTTTCTAGAGAAAAGGCATGCTTGTGTTTAGTTTGCATTGAAATCTACTATCTAAGTTATTGGATCCCCATTCGATAATTGTCGCCAAGTCCATATTCATGTTGTCAAAATTTCTCCCTCGTTCGTTTCTGATTTGCCTGGCTGGTATTGGAGCCCTGGAAGAGAAGGCGGTATGGAGGGTACCATCGTCCGCGAAGCTGTGTACTGGACATGAAGTTGCTTCCAACAAATCGTTGATATGGAGTAGACAAAGTGTTGGTGCTAGAATTGATCCTTGCGGAACACCAGAATTTATGATATGAGAGTCAGATGAAACTCCGTCGACCACCACATGAAGAGACCTGTTCGAGAGAAAACTAGCTAGCAGAGAACATAGCTGGGGAGGCAAGCCATAAGATGAAAGCTTGGCGAGGAGTCCGTGGTGCCAGACTCGATCGAATGCTTTGGAGATATCAACTGACACGGCAAAGGTTTCACCATATTTTTAAATAGATTGCTGCCATATATGTGAGACGTAAGCGAGCAGGTCTCCAGTTGATCTCTGATGACGGAAGCCATATTGCCTATCGTTGATAATACCTGAATGTTCCAGGTATATCATGAGCTCGATGTTGATAGCTTTCTCCATGATTTGAAATAATAGATAGCAGTGCGATCGGTCTGTAGTTGCTAGGTAGGGTCTTTAGAGAAGTTATTTATATAAAGTGTGGTCGACCGACTTTGTGTTGTTTTCTTCAATTTTTCTTTTGAAATATGGAATAAGTTTGTGCCGTAAAATCGACTAGTGTGAACAACCCCATTATCCTACTATTCTCAGTTGAGGGCAAAATGAATTTCTCACCTTTGAGTGTTTTGCTGGGCGGCGGCCCATCCCTGCTCCAAGGTGGTTCGCCGTGACCAGAGAAGTCCCTCAACTTGAGGTAAGAGATTGTCAGTCTTATGATACTAGCCTTATCTAATTGGGAGGTGATGGCGGCTGGGAGAGGGAGCATTTTGGCCAGCTCGTAGAATTCGAAGTTCTCTTTTCCGCGTCTCGACCTGGCTGCGTCTCGGCTCTTTTCTTTCCTCAGTTCCAGGATACTGGAAAGAAAAAAGGGATATCAGAAAATGATGTCTCATCGCAAATTGAACGGCAGTTTCGTGTGAGTGCTTAGAAATTCTTGGAAAATTACCGTTAATCCTAATGATATACAGGGTGCTTTCGAAATTGGAGCGATAATCATAAGGGGTAACACTTAATGAAATGCAAGATAAAATTCATTATCTCAGGAAGTAGATACAGTATACCACAACTCTTGTATATTGAGTCCACACAATTGAACCCACTTCACCTATTCAAGAGTTTTTCTTATTTCAATGTTTCGGATGAAGGACATGTTGAATAATGTATTTTGAATCAAGATTATAGTGATGCTTGAGACGAGAAGACAGTTTTCTCATATCAAAATATTGAATTTTTTATGTAATGGAAATAGTGAATGAATGAAATGGTAAGTACTTGATACGAGGTTGAATTTCTTTTCACCTCAAACCTATACAAAATATTCGAGTAAAGAAGATAGTGGAATCATATTGAATAAATACTATGATGGTAATTGATGCAAGATTGGGAAAATTATCGATGATTCGTGATTCTAGTAAGAAATATAATAATGCTTGATACAATAATCAATATTTCAACAGAATGACGGAACTTTCAAATGAAACAACTGGCGGATGGTATTTATTGAGTCAAGATAACGGTGATATGATTTAATCTGTTATTATATCTCATACAGCACTCCATTTGATTCATTCAATTTCGGAAACATCCTGTACATATAGTAAAAATGAAGTATCATACAATTTCTATAAACAATTCCAGTATGTCCAATATAATTGTTGATAATAACATTGTGGTCCATCAGAAGATATGCATAAATTCATCAAAATTCCGTTTGAATATTTTTCAAAATGTAAACGCTGAAACACTGTATAGTGTTTTCGCACACAACATGTTCCATAGCCACATCAGTGGCGTGTAGTTTTTGGAAGCTATAGGGAAGCTTCCCTTACCAAAAAATCAGAACCATCCTCTAGATCATTTTTATAGTTTCATGGATTGCTATTTGATTATATCCTACTATAACAATGCATTGAAAGGCGCCTAGGAATGTTTAACTCAGCAATGTAAATTTACAATATTAGAATAAGGAATGCCCATGGCCATCTTCCACGAGACCTGATCATAATTGACCGATGAAAGCTATTACTTTAACGCTCACAGGCTGAATATACAGGATATTCATTCAATCCCGTTCCCCACGTGACCAAATGTTTGGTCCCTAGGGATTGTTTGGAGATACATGGAGATACTAAAGGGCGCACTTTTGTCCTGGAAATGCAGATGCACCCTGTACCCAGTAATTCAACCTTGAAATTTGCGTTGACTTACATGTGTTCAGGAATTCTGGTTGTATCAATTTGTTTGTTCTGTCAGAGGTATATTTATGTGACCAATATTTTTAATACCTACAAGGATACTCACTAAATTACTTTCAGATAATCAATGGGGTATTTTTTTTGTCAAACCCGTGTAAGATTGAAATTTCCGTAAAACTCAGTGCACGATACAAATGGTGTAAGCGGTGGGCAGGCAGATAGCTTGAGTCAGATTGCGAACGACATACAACATACGAAGGTACAGTCTTCTTCAGAACACATGGACGATGATAGCATTTTCAATAACTCCTGCAATAAGAGCGCTGACACCGTCTAACCGCGACATGATCTCTGAAGACGACTGTACATACCAGTTGGTCCGATGGCTCGTCAACGTTTGTAGTTACCATTTTTGAATGTTTGTGGAGGATTTTCTGCAACAACTATCGATTAAAAGTGATATATTTCAAGATGAATTAATACGTAGACATAAATTTAAGTTAACACTTCGGAATTATAGGATTTTTCAAGCGGATGAAAACAATTCGAGAAGAATCCCAAACCCGTTCAATCCCCGTTCAATTACACAAAAGGACTTGACATGGTTTTCAAAGACTCAGGTTTTGAAAGCTTTTATCATTCTCAGTCGATATTAGGCAATTTTTTAGGTAATCCAAAAGAAAAGTCAGGAATATACGAAATTATTTGTAATGATCGTGAAAAAACATATATAGGTCAAACCAGGCAACCCATAAAAATAAGGTTTAATAAACACTTAGCACAGTTTAGCGGCTGTTATCTTCCTTTCCTATGATTTTGATATTATTCCACTCTGCCATATGTTGTCCATTTTCAGTAAGGATTTGTTCAGTTAGCTTTGATTCTTCATAGGAAAGGAAGATAACCAAAATAGAAAAATCAAGGAACCCGCTTGCATTCTTCTGAACGGAGACAAAAGCATTGCTTCCTGTTCAGTTAATATAGATATACCTTGGTATTCACTACTGAGAACTGAACATGGAAATGGTAGAATCAAGATAAATTAATAAAAACATCCTGTATTGTATACTAACATCATCACTCATTCATATGCCAAAATCAGTATGTCACTGAGAGGTGTCAAACTATAAGAGAAGAATTTTCGAAGAAAAATATTTTGCATTCTCATGTTGAGAACGGGAGCAGATTCGTTCCCGAAACGTCCGAAGATATAAGATATTGTTTCAATATATCTATATTTCTTCTCTTCAAACATTTTTCCAAACAAACTGTCACTGACAAGCTATGAATTTTTCTTTCAGGCTCCCTGATAAAAGAATTTGTTGAGCGCAGGGACATTTTGGGGAAAATCATCTGATTTGTCCTACTACACATAATTATATTGAAATAATACTCATATTTTTTTTATGGAAACGAGGAGGGAAAATCCCAAATAACCAAGTAAAATAAAACATAATTCCTTCTAATCGAAAAATATTTGGTTCTACTTGAGATATCGAATAGGTAGATGTATACAGCATACACGTCTCTTTGAAAAGAACGAGACTGGTGTAGTTTAAATCAGTGTTCCCTCGGGTAAGTCAGCTAGTGAAAAGACGGGAATTTAGATTCGAGGTATGGGACAATCGTCTCGAGGGATGGATAAAGTGAAAAAACACACACTAAAGGTCGTCGGGAAATTCAGAACTATTGGAAAACACTGCGTATACGCAAATACCCCAATAAACCCCAATAATTCTATATTATCTTCGTCAGTGGACTGACTTAGTTCAATACAATCAGGATTTAATCTTTTTGAAATAAATGAAACAGTGAGTATAGAACTACTTTGGATTTGCTGCTTTTATTGATATATAGCCAAACTAAAAAGTAGAAAATAATTCTCAATACGGAAATACGATTTTTTTTATCTCTTGGAGCGCACGATAGAAAATTCCCATATTGTTCGTGGAATATCGCGCGTACCTAGGAGGAGGTAGGTTTTGGAATTCTTTTCGAACTTGCGATTAGTGACTTATTCACTTGTCATAAGTGACTCGTTCACTTGTAATATTAGTGATCTAATCACATGTTATAAGTGACCTCAACTTGTCATCAGTGACTTATTCACTGGTCATTAGTGACTTATTCACCTGTCATATAGGTACTATGAAAAATCACATATATTATTCTCTGAAAAATGAGAACCCTGGTAAAAAGACAAAAACTCGTCCATTTGAAATATTTGTTGTATATTGAAAAGGAATATTCTCAGATAAATGTATGAACATAAAAACACACGATTAGAATTTGAGTACATAATCTTCTGAAGTTGAGAATATGCATTCTCCTTCAGATAAGAGTATGTATATACACATAACATTATCATTCTGAATATTCAACAGAAAACAACTACTTTCCTGGCTATATGCCACGTCGAACATTGAATTATATCTATTGAACATACAAGAGGAGAGCATGAAAAATAAAAATCCTCTGAAATTGAGCACTGACATTCTCTCTCAAATTGGATAAAATTATATGATGTATTATGATGGAAAAATATAACTTACCAATATCAATATCAACAAGTGTCCTGATCACTTACAACAGAAACATTGTTTCGAAAATATTGTTTTGCTTACTTCAAGTACCTCATTTTACATTAGTTAAAATGTTCTTCTCACAATCGACTTTTTTCAAAGGTTATTTGTTTTACTAGGCAGTCAATCTACATTTGCTGCCGTGTGAAACATAGAATTTTTTCTCCAAATCATATGAAACTAATTTTGTGTAATTTTTCCATTGAAAACTCCATCATTTTGTGTTCACCCAATGTCAGTGTCAATTTTAATTACTAATTTCATTAGAATTTCTTGGAACGTTGCATAGCAACAAACTTTTTCTGCCTAGGCAGTAAAAGTACACCTTTTCTGCCTGTTAAGCGGCAGAAAAAAGCCACTATCCCTGCCGCTTGGAGAAAAACGATTTTACCTGGCCGAATTCCCTCGGTGTGCTATGGTATGGGTAATAAAGGCTTTCAATTGTTCGAAAATGTTGGGTGTGAAATTTCCAGTTCAAAAAACCTTGTCGGGTATGAAACACCTATATTATATTTCAACTACAAAATAGCCACAACGCTCAAAGTGGAATGAAATGTTGAATACATTCAAAAAGCTCAAAGTCATTTCCACACAATATTCATAAATTGAACAACAATGGCTAGCCAAACAAAAATCAAGTCGGCATTATATCCCCACCAGAGTCGTCTCTCATAGACGATATGAAAACAACGCCATCTGAGTAGAAAAGAAGGAAAGAAACACTCCACTACTGAAATGCCCATACGGGAATGGCTGGTTGCCCGACTGGCGTAATTTCAACTACGAAATAGTCACAATCCTTCGTTTATACGAGTCGATGCATATATAGATTTCGGGAGGATCTATAATTATTATTATTATTATTTTTATTATCATTATTAACAGTAAGTGCAGAGGCATAGCCTTTTATAGCACAATATACAAAATGAGGATGTTTGTAAGAACTAAGATTGAAAAGTCAATCAATTTCAGAGGCACAACGAATCCAGTCTTGATTTGAATGTAGATATATTTGGTGCACACACTATTTTATTTTATTTTATTTTACAGAAACAGGTTGCCTAACAGATTTTACAA